ATCTCAAACTCTATCTCTCTGCTCTCATTCCCAGCGGCGCTGCGGCGGTGACTGAGAATTCACCCAAAGCCAAACCTCTAAAGCCCGAGTCTGACTCTCAAAACTCTGTCTCTCAAATTCTGTCTCTCAAAAGGTTAGTACTCTCGACTACACTCTCACGTTTAATTTTCTGCTGTAGATAGATTCAAACCAAACCTCTAAACCCGAGTCTTAAACAGGTCAGAGCACTGGAAGTGACTGAGGATTCTCTATTATTTCTCCCATCAGCAATCGGCACTGGGCGAGTTAGCACTGGAAGTGACTCAGGTGCTTCAAAAATTCTCTCTTATTTCTTGTTTGAAAACTGCGATTGAAACCCATGACCCATATGTTTCCCCCAATTCATGTCTTCATTCAATTTGTTTAAAATTAGGGTTGTTGAAGACGAGATTGAAAGAGTTCGAAAACCGGGAATTTCTCGGTGGATTTAAGAACAGTGAGTTTGTGGAGAAATTCAAGTCCAGCTTGGTATGTTCTCTCTACCTTCATTTCGAAATTTGTTGCTTTCGGCTTTGAGTTTTCATAGCAATTGAATTTGTTAACTTTGCATTTTGATTGCTACATTTACCAATTTGGGTTTACAGTACTAGGCCAGGTAGAGGTAGGCGTAGATGGATTGGGGGTTTGGGGTTGATCTTGTAAATTACTGTGTGTGATTAGCCTGTAGTTTTAGGGTTCCTAGACTTGCTCAAACTTCCAATTTTCATCTGCTGTGCACTGTCTACAGATCTTGCCAGATTTCAAATTAGATTTTTGGGTCTCTTGGTTAATCTTGATTTTTCCTATTTTATTTGTTCCTTCTTTTTGGATGTGCTAATTCCTGGTTTTTGTTTCTTCCATGCAATTTTATATAACTACAGAAAGGAATACCCAACGTACTATTAGCATTAGACTTGTGGGAAACATGTGCTTTTAAAATCAAAAGCAGTAACATAACACCAAGAGACTGCATATTCAGTAACCATAGAAAGAACAAAAATAAGTGATCTAAGGTGAACGGTATTATATTCTTTTGACGGTTATCCTTTTTCAAAAGAACTTCACACGGTTATCCTATGTTTAATGAAAACTGAAATGATCATAGCATGTTCCCTGGTATAGCCTTAAGCCTTTAAGGAAGCAGAGCGGCATTACTGGCTTATGAAAATAATTCTATTTTAACTCCAAGATGAGATTGCTCACAATCACAACTAAGTGAAGGCTCCTGCCAATATGCGGTATAGGGAAGCAAGATGTACACAGAGTGCTTTAAGCATTAGACTTGTGGGAAACTTGTGGACTTAAGTTTTTTGTTTTCTTTTATATATAATGGATTTTATTTTGGCTGGCATGTTGGTTTCTGTTGGTGCAATAGGAGTTCCAGTTGAATGTAGTTGGAATTTGGGTTTAGTTTTGATCTTATCTTTTGTTGTTATTATCTTGTCGCATATAGATCCGGCCAATACAAATTTTGAGCCCTCATAAGTCAATTTAGTCTGTTATTGGCACATTTAAAACTTAAGCTTCGATAAGTAGATTTTTTTGATTGCTCAAATATGAAATTATAGGATTAGGGAAGAGACACATGCAGTATCATTCTTTAACAATTAAAGGTCAGGTGGTAAAGGTCATGAAAGCATCAATTGAGGACTTAAATAAACACGAGTTTTATAAATTGTTAAACTTTGCTTTTAATTCGAAATCTCTAGGTTTTGGTGTTTGACAATTGAACAACTTTGCTTTTAATTTAGTAGGTATTGGGATGTAAAAGTCTTATCTTTTTGTTTTGTATCTTAATTAGATGAAGTCAAGTGCATCAAAGGCCTCGCCCTGGAGCTCAAGCTCAAACTCAATGAGATCATCAAATAGCTCCCGTGAAAAAATAAACTCATCTACTTCTACTCCATCACAAGTAAGTTGTCATCTTTATACTTTCTATGGTTTTTATGTCTCAATTTATTTAATAATTAATTGTAAAGATTGTTTCTCTTATTTTTGAAGGACATTGTTGGTGAATCAACTCCACCTCAACTCCCCATGGTGGCAACTCAACATACTCCTCTTACTCATGGTGGATCCACAAATTTATCCAATGCAACTCCAAAACAAGGTGGCTCATGCTCGAGTGATCAAGTAAGTAAAGAAGACACTCCTTTGGATAAATTGGATTCACTAAAAAGTCATTCAAGATCTACAATTTGGGAGCATTTTGATAGGGTAATCGAGGATGGTAGAGTTAAAGGGGTGTGCATGTATTGCAAGAAATCATATATGGCCGACACGGATAAAAATGGCACAACTAGTTTAAGAAATCACTTAGCTAGATGTAGAAGCTATGGTCCTAATAAGGAAATATTTGCGGCAAATAGGCAAAAGATCTTAACCTTTGCCGGCACAAAAGATAAGTTGGAAGCTATTGGTTTTTCTCAAGTGGAAGTTACTAAGGCTTGTGTTGAGATGATAATTATAGACGAGTTACCTTTTTCTTTCGTCGAGGGAGATGGGTTTCGTCATTTTTGCATGCATGCATGTCCTTTGTGGAGAGTACCTAGTCGTAAGACAATAGCTAAAGATGTACTTGGCTTGTTTTACTCCGAAAAGGAGAAATTGAAAAGTCAGTTGAAGACATTTAGGGTGTGTCTAACAACGGATACATGGACTTCTATACAACAAATAAATTACATGGTTCTCACCGCTCATTTTATTGATGATGATTGGATGTTACATAAAAAGATTTTGAACTTTTGTGTCATTCCAAATCATAAGGGAGAATCCATTGCTCAACTATTGGAGGAGTGTTTGGTGGAGTGGGGCATAGAGAAGGTGTTAACTATTACGGTTGATAATGCTTCGGCAAATGATTATGGCTTAAGGGATTTGGTGCACCGAATAAGTGGGTGGGGGATTCCTAATGCACTTTTGCATGATGGAAAATATTTGCACATGAGGTGTGTTGCTCATATCCTTAATTTGGTGGTGAATGATGGGATTAAAATGTTGAATACCGCCATACAAAGCATTCGTAATGCGGTTAGGTATGTAAGATCTTCCCCTCAAAGGTTGGAGAGCTTTAAAAGGTGTGTTGAGAAAGTGAGAATAATAGAAGGCAAAGGGCTTGTGATTTTAGATGTCCCTACTAGGTGGAATTCCACATTTTTAATGTTGGAATCGGCTTTGAAGTTCAAGATGGCTTTTGATAGGTTGAAAGTAGATGATGGTCATTACCTTCCTTACTTTACTAAAGAAAATCATGATAATATAAGGGAGGGGCCACCTTCAACTCATGATTGGAGTGAGGCGGGAATATTTGCATCCTTTTTGAGACCTTTCTATGAAGTCACTTTAAAAGTGTGTTGTTCTAATACTCCAACAATTCATACTACTTTTGGTGATTTGTTTAAGATCAAAAGTCTCATCCTTGAAAACAAAGATAATGAATTCTTGTCTATGATATCTATGTTGATGCAAGAAAAATATGACAAATATTGGGGTTCAATTGAGGATATGAATCAATATGTTTTTGTTGCACTTGTGCTTGATCCTCGCCATAAATTGGAGAAGGTGGTTGATTATTATGAGATACTATATGGCGAGGACGAGGAGGACGAGGAAAAAGTTGAAATTGCAACCAATGCGGTGAAAAATTTGTTGTTTGATCTTTACAAGATTCAAGAAGAGTCATCTTTTGATACACAACAAAGTGCAAGTAGTGGTGGTAGTTCTCAATCGGCAACTACAAGTGGGAATGAGAAAAGCATGACAGAGATTGAAAGGAAGTTGAAAGAGAAAAGTGAAATGAGAAAAGCAAAAAGAGCTCGTATTGTGCACAATGATTTGGATAGGTATCTTTTGGATCATATGGAAGGGGAAGAAGAGGCAAACTTTGATATCTTGAATTGGTGGAGGGTGAATGGGCTTTCGAAGTATCCTATTTTGGCACGAGTTGCAAAAGAGATTTTAGCTATTCCGGTATCAACTATTGCTTCGGAATCCTCCTTTAGCACAAGTGGAAGAATAATTGATCCATACCGTAGCTCTTTGAGTCCAAAAATGGTGGAAGCTTTGATATGTACACAAAATTGGCTTAGGTCAATTCATGTAGCATTACATCATGAGCCAACCATTGAGGAGATTGAGTTTTGTGAAGAAGTTGAGAAAGGTAAATTTACTTATTGCATTTGGTTTTGTTAGACTATTTTAATTAGATGCTAAGTTGCATGCTTGCTTTACATCATCATGTTGTTTCTTTTTTTATTTGTATGTAGAAATGACAAGTGGAAGCTCAAATAAAGGTGCTATGTTGCCTCCTAGGCCGCCTAAGCGTTGAACTTGAGGACTTGGAAGATTTTATTTGTGCAAGACATGAAGTGATGAAACTTTGAAGGTTTATTTGACTTGTGTGATGTTTATTTTAAATTTGGACTTTTTTAAAGACTTAAACTTTCATGTTTATTTAAGTTTGGACTTTGGAAATTGGAATTTGGAATTTGGAAGACTTGGATTCTCATTCTCATCATGATTTTGTTGTTGTAAATATGTTATTTCCCGAAGTTGGACTGTGGATGAAGAATGTGAGCTTTTATATTTTCAAATTTTTTATTTTTTGGAGACAGAAAAAAAAAAAAAAAAAAACCGAAAAAAACCGAAACCGAACCGAAATAACCGAACCGAAAAAAAAACCGAACCGAAAAAAAACCGAAAAAATGTGAACCGAACCGAACCGAACCGAAATTTCGGTTCAGTTTCGGTTTTAGGAAAAAACCGAACCGGTGGGAACCGAACCCACCCCTACCTCTAAGCGTTTCAATCGTCTGGATCAATAATACGATTTTTTTTAGGCGAAATAGTAGAATATTAAGATCGTCGACTTCTTGTTATCGTTCGTAATTCTTAATATCGTTGTAAATATATTTGCACACAAGCACCTCACTCAAAACCTGATTATTTCTTGCGTGTCAATGAAAATATATTAGGAAGAAGAATAATTATAATTTCCCACATTTAATTATATTTCTGCAATCCACCTTACAAAACATAATATTCCAATTTTCACATGTTATTCGGATCATCACTATACAGAAAAGTCACATATAAAGCCGGTCCAATATCCCACTTATCCACTAATAAACAAAAGAAACAAAATCTACAAATCCCAAAAAAATTAAAAACAAAAAACTCAAAAGCTAGCTCTTTTCAGTGACGTCACAGTAATGGCAGCACCCAACGGCGACGGCGCCACCTCAATCTCAAACGAATCATACCGGAGAAAAAACTCCACCACCAAAAGCCTCGAAGCCAACACGCTAAAGTCCTTTCCAGCACACTGTTTGTTCCCGACCGTCGGACTCTCCGTCTCAGGCCCGTTCGACCACAGCACGTGCTTCAACAGCTTCTCCCCGTCATCGCCGACAAACCGATCCGGGACAAACTCATCGGCTCGCTCGAAAATCCTTGGATCTTTGGTTGCGAACGGTTGGAATCCGAACAGCAACTCCCCTTCTTTAACCTTAAACGCCGCGTCGTGGCTCTCGATCACGAGATCCGTCTTCGCCCTTCCGAACTGCGACGCCACCGGTGGCTCAATCCTGAACGTTTCGTAGACCACAGATTTCATCAATGGCATTTGCTCCATTGCGCCCATCGTAATTTTTCCGTCGTTGGATCGGACGGCGGTTCGGATCTCCTCGGCCAATCGAGTGTGGAGCCCGACACCGGCGCGCCCAATCCACTTGATCATATTAGGGAATTGGAACTTCATCCCGCCGAACGAATTGAAGCACGTGGCGAATAACAGATTGTGGCACGCCTCGTCACGTGAGACACCCAGTCGCTCGGCCTCGTCGAGCACGTGACCGGAAGACTGGTAGAAGAAATCGTAGAGGCGCTGGTAATCCTTCTTGATCAAAAATGGCGGGAGCCGGAAAGAATGGATAATGGGTTCTTCGATGAACTTCGGGAGGCCGAGGATCAGAAGTGGGCCCAAGTTAAACAGGACCCACTTGGATACAAGCTTGGGTCCGTCGACCCCAAGTGGAGTGTCGGCAGGGTTGGCCCCGTACAGCGACCGGGTCAAGAAGTTAAACGCAGCCTGATCGTTGGCCGCGACGAAGTTGGCTTTACCTTTGTCAGCGAGACTGGCCTCGAGAGTTTCAAAAAGCTCCGTGTAGGACGAGTGAAACTCGGGTATCACCGAGTCGCGACTCGACTTCAGGAGGTAGAAAAGGATCCGCTTCAGCTTGTCGTGCTTGGGCTCCGATGGGTCGAGGTAGGAAAGGATGCGGTAGCCGCCGGTGAGCTCCACGGAGGGCATGTAAGTTCCGGTAAAGAGGTCCTTTTTTTCGACTTTCGAGACGTCGAAGAGCACCGGGAAGCTCTTGCCGTCGAGGAGGGCGACGACCTTGGATTTGTAGGTGATAGTGGGGCCCGGTGGCATGTTTACTCGGAACACCGTTGACTGGTATTTCTGGATGCGGGACTTGAAGAACTCGTCCCTACCCTGGTTGTAGAAGTAGTCGAGGCGGTCGCTGATGGGGCCGACGATGGGGAAGCCGTAGTCTCCGGGGATTTTCTTGAAGGGGAGGGATTTTGTCCTGTCGGACTCGGGCGGGTTTGCTGAAACAGAAGAGGAGGAGGGGGATTTCTCGGAAACAGAGGCGGAGATGGGACGCACATGGCGGCGCTTGGAGGAGGAGTTGAATAGCGGTGATTTTCTTGATGATTGGGTTGGAAACTGTAGTTGCAGAGAAGGGAATACCAAAGAAGTCGAAGCCATTGGAGGCGGCTTTGACTGTCGGTTAAAAAGATGAGACAGTTGGTGGGTAGAAGATGGTGGGTGTTTGGGTGGCACAGTACTGGCAGCTTTATTTATAGTGGGGAAGTTGGGTGGGAAGACGGTGGGTTATTGGAGCCCAAAAGTCAGTGTAGATTATTAAGGTGGGTCGTGGAATGCGTGCATTAATTGTATATGTTGCTTTGGTTTGAGTGGCGCGAGAGATTTTTTTAATGTTTTCTTTACACGATGTGGTATATCACGTGTTCTTATATAAATTGTGGGTTATGTGTGTTAAAAGATTAATAACTTAAAAATTAAAATTTTTCACCACTTGCATAAAAACATATGATATATCATCTGTATTTCCGTCACAACTAAATTTTTTTCGAGTGGTGCGAAATAGGAACCCATTGAAAAATAGAAGAATACCAAGTGTCACAAAATATTGAAGCAGTTCTTTGGATTGGAAAGTTGAGTGCATTTTTGCTCATCATTATTTAGTGTGGTGTATGCTTACTGTCATATTTATCACCGTTAGATGAGTTTGAATTTTGAGATTTGTATTTATCTATTACACGAATCTCGAAATTCAAATTCATCTAACAGTGATAAATAGGGTGGGAAGCATACACTATTCTAAATGGTGGTGAGCAAAAATGCTCCCTTGGAATGTTTGTGGTTGAAACACATTCATCTTGTCTGTGCCAACCTTAGTTGAAGATGTAATGTGTCTGCAACACTCTTCACGTAACAAATTTGATGTACGAGTGTTTGGGCCCAAAATATTAATTTGGGCCGAGGGTAGGATCACTCTCGGCCCGGGAGGCCGATCGGCTAGTGGGCTTCCCAGCCTAGGGCGGTTAGGTCAGAACGCCAGCCGAGTCCTAGTACAATGAGGAGTCTCGACGGGATCAATAATCCAGAAGACAAATCCGGCTCAGTTAAGGACTAGATTCATAGTCCTAGTAAAGATAGGACTAGTCGAGGTGACGTTGATCCGGAGAGGAAAACCTAGTCCGAATAGGATTCTAACTCAGACTTAAGGACCAGTGCTATAAATAGGGGAAGCTGTGCACCAGGAAAGCCTGCAAATCAATACAAAATTGCCCTGCGCAAATTCTCACAACTTGTGATTTTTCTTTTTTCCTTTTTCGCTGACACATCTTCTGTTGGCATTAACAGCACTGTGAAAGCAACCGGTGATATCTTAAGTCGGCATAGATAGCTCTGTCACCGTAGAGTCAGTCGGTCTCGCAGTATCTTCCGTTGGCATCAACAGCACTGCGGCGAGAACGATTGATTACCTATCCAAGTCTCGGTCGAGAAGGGTTTCTAAATCCTTGTTGGTCGAGGTCATTTCATCAGTCTTCTCGGTGAAGTGAGGTGTTACAGTTATTACATTCGGCACATGGAAAGCCGAATTTGATATTGAACTTCGTAAGAATAGTAACCTTGTCTTCAGGTTCGAGAGCCCAAGAGGCCGAGACGTGTTCCTTTCTCGGCCGCAATCGCAAGACGCAGAAGTCAGTAGCGCGACCCAACGCAACATCAACAAATTTACTCCTCGGCCGAGCTCAGCCGACGAGTTGGCACGTCCCGCAATCACCGAAGGACGTAGTTAGCTTATTAATTACTCGGCCTGCGCGCCTCGTAGGCTTGGTTGTTTTTAGGGTCAACAACGAGTAATGCATATAATTGGGATTAACAAGTTTCTTTACTTGTTTGTTTATGTAGTGCATCCACTCATCAAGGGAAAAGAAACAATTTCTCATCTATGCAAATCACATGGCACAGGCAAAAAATAACTCGTCAAAAACACAAGAAAAACAGTTTATGCACACGTTTAAAATTATGAATCTATGCATTACATGAATGTAAGAGTGTGTACTTCGACAAGAAAATGCCAAATATTTTCCCTTGAAAACAAATTAAGTTATAAATGCTTAATCAAAAGTAAAACTAGAAGAACATGAAGTCAATAATAAATCGTTTATCGTTTATCAGTCTAGTTTACGTAAACTACCGATTCATCCAATTAAGGTTTGTGCATATTTTTCTTTTATGTTGAATTGTATTTGGTCTAAATCATGGTTCTTGTTACTAATTTGTTTTCTCATTTGAAGAGTTATTTTGTTACCAAACGTTAACTAATAGGAAAGAAAACTTTGCATGGAGCATGCCAAATAGAAAAAGCATTGCATGGACTACGATCCGTCAACATTCACTCAACGTTAAAGTTGAGTTGTCGTTTTTCTTATGCTTCCTATCTGAACAAGGGTAACCCCCTCGAAGTGGCGCGTGTTTTACGCGCCCGCTCCTCGGTCCTCATATGTGAATATTGCGCGTGGGTCTAACAACTCTACTTTTGTCAACCACAAACCGAGGACGGAGTTGAAAGTCATGGCCATCCAATTGTGTGTTTGAAAGTCATGGCCATCAAATTGTGTGTTTGAAAGTCAAAGTGAATGCTCATTTTTACTTCCGAGGACGCGATACCTGAGGTATGGTTTCTCACTGCCGGCCAATATTGCACGCGCATGTCACGTGACCGCCGTCCATTTAGCAACTGTACAGCGACCCTTTTATTCACTTGCGCTAGTTTGGCCAGTCGGGGAAAATGTGAGCTTTGCCTCCCAAGTGATTGGATTCTCTTTCACTTTCTTTGGTCATCGACGATCTTCATTTTACTTTTGGAATTTGGACAAGTCAAATGTAACTATACCATGTCCTCCTACACTAGGGTCGTCGTAAAACATAACTACGATCATTCATTCAAATGATGTATAATATGTAGATTCATAATAGATTATGTAACGGTATGACGATCGTGTTTAATATATGTAGATATGTAACACAAGCTATGAAATTAAAATCATCATTAATTAAACAATTAATGATATGCATGTTATTCAATCAAAGATATTTAAATTAAAACCCTCATTAATTAATTGATCAATGATATGAATGTTATTCAATCAAGGATATTTAAGAGCCACGGAATTAAAACACATGATTCAACAACTATCTTCATTTATGGAAACAAAGTCCCAACAAACACTAAATTTAAGTTCTCTCCTTGTGAGAAATTTTCTCTCATTATGAGAGCTTTTCTCACCGATGTGTGAGTGTCCTCCGCTTCGTTTTTCTCGTAGCCGCTTACCCTAGCTATGGCCAAGGTCGGGGCAGTCCTTCTCTTCTCCTTTCTTCTTCTTTTTTTTTTTTTCCCATTTCCTTCATCTTCTGTTTTCCTCTACCTAGTGGCCTGTTTGCCACTTAACCCCCTGTGCATCTGCTTTCTTTGATTTCAGTCACTTTTCCAACTTTTCTCATTTCTTCCTTCCTTCCACTTTTCCCCTCTGTTTCCTTTGGTCTTCCTTCCACCTTTTCCCATTATTTCTCTCCACCCTTTCCCCCTCTTTCCGCCCACGTTCTCCAATCCGGATCAGCTCCATCCTTCTTCGACTTCACTATCCGGATCGGCTCCCACTTTTTTTCAACATGATTTATTGTGCTTTTCCCAGAAGGTGAGCAGAGTTTTGGCTCGGGTGGTCACACCACCTCCTTCCTTTGGTTTGCCTTTGTTGGCACTGTTGCTAGTGGATTTTTTCCAGATGGCTTCCTTCGATTTGTGGTGGCTACTGCTATGGTGCTCTATGGAGGAGTTTGGGGTCCTGTTGTGGCTCATTTTTCATCTAGATTTGGGGCTCTGGTTATTTTGATTTCAGATAGGTACATGGGATGTTCGTTCAGCAAGCGGGTTGTCAGCGGATGTAGGAAGCTGTTAGGGTTTGCTTTGTTGTTTTTTCAGGTTAGGGCTCAAAACTATGTTTTGGGTTGTTGGGTTACTATGGAGTGGACATGTAAACGGGTTGAGTTTATTGGGTTTAGGTCGGGTTGAACCAAACCCATTAAGTTAACGGGTCATCTGAATTCGACCCGTTAAGTTAACGGGTCATCTGTTTCACCCGTTAACAATTATTATTATTATTATTATTTTGCATAGAGTTTTCAGTTTAGGGCTCAAAACTATGTTTTGGGTTGTTGGGTTACTATGGAGTAGACCTGTAAACGAGTCAGGTTTATTGGGTTTGGGTCGGGTTGAACCAGACCCATTAAGTTAACGGGTGACTCGTTAACAATTATTATTATTATTATTATTTTGCATAGAGTTTATATTTTGTTGTTAAGACTTTATTGAAATTACTAAAACATCCTCAACTAACGGATGTTAACGGGTCTAACGAGTTGACCCAAAGTGACCCGTTATTTAACGGGTTGTTAATGGGTTCACCCGTTAGCGACTCGACCCGTTAAGCATCCACCCAAATACTAATATTAACGGGTCGGGTCCAAAATGCCAAGTCTACTATGGAGGTGTCCATCTTTTGTTTGTGTTTTTATTGTATTTGGACATTTTCTTATGTAATCTATTGTGTTATAAATAAAGAAAACCCTTGACCAAAAAAAAAAAAAATCTTCATTTATGGAGAGATTTTTTTCAAGTATTGAGTAGTCAAGTGATATTCCACATATCATAATACAAGTGGAGAAAATGATAATTTTTTGTGTCACCCGCTTGAGACCGGTCAGTTTGGAAAATTTCTCCCATTCATCCGCGTTGTATCAACAACCTCCGACAAATTTAATTTGCCTCATTTAAGAGCGATTTCAAAATATGAAATCAGATAATGCTGAAATTATGTATATATTTATTCCCTAATCTATCGGTAGGTGAAATGGAGAGGTCGACAAGAGTTTCCTTGTGACTTGAAGGTTCATTTGGCCAATTACGTTGGTGGACAATAAAAAGATAACAATAATTACAGACTATCAAATGCAATTTAGGTTTTCAATTTTTGGTACAAGACTTGTTGCATTTTGTTGGTCTAAGTTTCTTGTGGTGATTCTTAATTAGTTAGCTAGGTGATAGATGATACATAATTAATTATGGGCTCGTTTAGAAGTGCTTATAAAATTGTTGAAAACGCTTTTAGGAAAAAATATTTTTGGATTCCAAAATCACTTGAAGTACTTTCTACAAGCAGCACATAATTAATGGTAGCTATGTATCGCTTTACGTCGAATGG